ATTTTTGAAATAAACTGAGAAGGTCTCCTGAATAACAATTTCATCCTCTGAAATTTCCCCTTCTAAAGTCTTGATTTGATGAATCCAGTTCAAGTTTCTTCTAGCATTCGCAAAACTGTGAAAAAAATTGGAGTTACAGTCTCCCTCCTCCATCCACCTGATCTTTGCTCTTTGCTTCCACCAAGTATTGAGTCTAGCTAAAGTAACATTTAACTCATTGATTTTACTTCTCAAAATCTGAAGCTTGTCCATAGAAATACCAATTTCCGCCTCTTCTAATTGGATTTCCAGAATTTCTGCTTTGAGATCCTCCTTGAGCTGAGATAAATTTTTATGTTTTTCTCTACTCCAAAAGAATGGAGCTCTTAGAGACTTCTTACATTTCTTACTGAGAATGTCAGCCGGACTACCTGAACGTTTGTTTTCCCAAATCTTCTTTACCAATGCCGTTGCTCCATAATAAGTAGCCCAAATCTCCTCATATCTAATATCCTTTCTTACTGAAGTCACTGGTTTGAATAATTCCAAAACTAATGGACAGTGATCCGAAGCAAAACGAGGCAGGTGTTTAACGATAGCTAATTGAAGAAAATTCATAGCTGAAGAGTTTATAAGTCACCTGTCCAATTTCTCCCAAATAAGATTGCTTCCGGATTTATTGTTGCACCACGTGAATTTAGGCCCCATTGAATTTACCAGGTGAAGATCATTGTTAATCATGAAACTATGAAAATCTTTGGAGCCTTGATTCATTTTGAATTTCTTCCCACCTCTTTTCTCCTCTTGAGATAAAATACAATTAAAATCCCCTCCGATAATCAAAGGAGCATCAACATCACATTGCCTTCCAAGATCTTCCCAAAGGAATTTTCTTTCCTGCACATCTGTACTACCATAAACAGACGCGATTTTCCATTCACCTTTGTTGATCATTTTCAAATTACCAACCACCATTTGAGAAGAGTGCCTCACCACTGTAAAATCTGCTAAACCACAACGCCATAAAATCAACAAACCTCCCGAAAGACCAACAGCCGGGACCATAAAAAGCTTCCAATTATCTCCCAGAAGCTTCATAATTTGAGTATTTTCCACATTATTGATCCTTGTTTCCAATAAACCTACAAAGATAACACCGTGATCCTTGATCACCTCCTTAAGATAGAGAGCCGCCTCTACTTTTTTGGCTCCCCTACAATTTTAAAAAAGAAGACCACTCATTATTTAAAGATGGGGAAAGGGTCCCCAACCTTTTTTACCTTCCCACTCTCCCCTTTTCTATTATGAGCAATGATATTACCTTCTCCCAAGGACTTCAGCTCCTTGCTTAATTTAGATTT